CTGGAGGTTTCAGAAGAAAGAGAAAAACAATAGCACACAAACAAGATACCGCCACCCTGCTTCTCTCCCATACTGCAACCCCTCTTCACAGTGGTGACCCCTGACCTGGGGACCTTGCATGGACAGAGACTCCAGGTCCCACAGGTCTGGGTCACTTGGTGTCCCCACACCCACTCTGGTTTTGGGAGGATGTGTGAGGAAAGGACCATTGTTCTCCTACAGTGCATAGACAGTTTCTTCTGTCCATTGGAAGCTTCCCTTCAACCTTGCAGGGCTTTTCCCAAAGAGACTGAGGCTCAGGACATAGAAATAGCACTCAGTGGGTCAGACAGAGCAATGCAGACTTAACCTCGGATAACTGGACATGAGTTGAGGACTGGAGCCAGAGATCATGATCAGTCTCAGTGATCCAGGATCTGGGCTCAATATTGAGGCCCAGAGTTCAGAGATTAGTCTAGGATCTAGTATGCAGGTCCAGGGCTTTATGGTTAGGGCCAGGATTTAGTGATCAGGACCAGCACCCATTGATCCAGTGCCAGAGATCAGGAGCAAGATTCAGGTATGAGACCAAATGTCCAGTGTTCAGGATCAGGGACCAGTGACCTGAACAGTGTTTAGGCATAGGCCCAGTGACTCACATGATCAGGATCAGGTCTTTTTGATAGGATTAGGGTTTAGTGGTCAGATCCAGCACTCAGGTATTAGGATTAGGGCCCAGTGATCAGCACCACTGCTCAGTGGTCAGAGCCAAGGCTCATTGTTGAGGATAGGGATCAGTGATCTGTACTAGGTCCCAGTTATCAGGACTAGGACTCAGTGAACACAACCATGATTTATTAATCAGAATCAGGGTCCAATGGTTAGGAGCAGGGCTCTGTTATCTGATCCAGGATTCAGTGATGAGGATCAAGGCTCCATGATTAGTAAGAAGACTCTAAGATCATGACCAGGGTCCAGTGATCAAGTCTACGGACAAGTGATTGGGAGCAAGACAGTGATCAGGGCTAGTACTTGGTGATTGGGACCAAGGCCCAGTGATTGGGACCAGATTCTGGTGGTAAGGACCAGGGCTTGGTGATCAGGATCCAGCCTCAGTGCTTAGGTCCCAGGCTCATTGTTCAGGACCAGAAATCAGTGACCTGTACCACTGCCCAACTATTAGGACTAGGTCTCAGTGATAGTGGAAGGGATTTGTGATAAGAACCAGGGCTTAGTGATCAGGATCCAGCTTCAGTGCTTAGGTCCCAGGCTCACTGTCAGGACAAGGGCTCAGTGTTCGGGAGCCATCCTCAGAGTCAGTGTTCAAGTGACAAAGATAAGGCTTAGTGATCAGGTTTTGGGAGCTGGCCACAACTCTGAGGAAGAGTTTTCCTGGATATCCACTCTTGGTGAAGCCAATTTTGGCCCTTAACCCTCTGCAGGACTAGGTCATGTCTTGGACACGAGACAAGGGACACCCAGATGTTCTGTGATGTAGGCATGCTCCACTATGGTGTCACTATCCTCTCCCTTCAATCCCTCCCCCCATCTGAGAACATTTGCCTCTGAGAGTCTGAGAAAGTATGCTTCTGGAAGAAATTTATTTCACAGGAAGGCATGTGAGTGGGGTGAGGTGGTCGTCACACAGGGCTCAGCTCTGACATGGAGAGAGGCTCCTCCAGTCTTCCTCCCTGAAAAGACAAGAGGGGCCAGGGGCAGAGGGGCTCCTGAGGACGGGCAGCATCCTTGCCAGTGCCCTTTCCTGTCTCAGCCCTGCCTGGCTTCTGGGAGACTGGGTTGAATCCCGAAGTTACTGTGTCCATGGGAAGCTCCTGCCTGACCCCAGATTTCTGTGTCCTCAGTGTCACGTGCTCCCTGGGTAGCAGAGCTCCATGTGGAGGGGCAGGCAATTCTCTCTTTAGAGTTGAGCACTCCATGGTCACTTTAGTCCCCCATTTCCCTCTTGCTGCCCACTGTCTTCCTCCAGATCCCCACCTGTGCCTCGTAGGCTTCTACTCAGTACTGGGGGTCCTCTTTGCTGCCAGTTGGGCCTCTCACAGTTGTCATAGTGAGTGCTGTGCTGTAGAACAGGCTCAGCAGGAAGAGGGTGAGGAGGGTGACAGTGGTGGGCCACAGGCTGGCACCAGGGGCCTCCTCCTCCAGGCTCTCTTGTGGCTGGTCCAGCACCACCCAAGGCAGCACCTCTTGACATTCTGTAAGACAAAGAGGGCCTGCCAGACCTAGATTGTGTGGGTGGTGTTCTGGACCTACATTTCCCCTTCCTAAGTTTCCTTGGGGCCTGGACACAGTGGCAGTGGAGGTTCCCTATCTCAGATCCTCCCTTGCTCAGGGAGGACTAGAAGGCAGCTCCAGGTAAAGGGTTGGGCCTCTGTAGCTCTTGGGAGGCCTACAGGACCCATCTCTCTCAGGGGACCTTGATAAGAGACATGGCATGGCAGGAGGGTAGACACTATCTTTGCAGCTCCAAGAAGAGTTGGAAACCAAGGCCTCTTGGGTCTCAGCCCTAGCTAGGTACTTGAGCTGGCTTTGGCCTGGGTATTGGGGCCAGACAGGACCAGACACACCTTCAAGACATAGATACAGAGTTCTGGATCTGAGGTTGGCATGACGAGGGATGGATAGGTGTGATCAGAAGACTCTGTTGCATTCCCAAGAAATGTGGCAATGAGTCACCCGCAAGGGTCAGGCGAAGGCCACCAGCATGGGCAGCACTGCTATCTTCAGGGTCCCAGGGTGTAGACCTTTCATATGAAATGGAAGTTGGACCTGCTTGTCATATTCTGATATATCCAATTGTTCATCTGTCCTTTTACCCATCTTTTCATACATTCATAAAGCTGTCATCCATCTGTCCATCCCTTCTTCAATTTATCTATATATCCAGTCAATTATCATCCATCCATCCATCCATTACCTACCCAGCTATCCACCTATCTATCTTCTACCCACCTACGCATCTATCCATCCATTATAAAGCTATCATCTATCCATCCACCCAACCATCCTCCACCCACTTATCCATCCATCTATAAACCGATCTATCTATAAACCTATCATTCTATCCATCCATCTGTCCATCCATCCATTTATCCATCTATCCCCCACTCAATTGTCTACCTATCCATCCCTCTTCCATCACTGATCCATCTTCCCATCCTCCCATCTATCTATTAATTTATCATCCATTCATCCATCCTCTGGTTATTCACCCATCTACCTACCCACCCATCCACCCACTCACCACCCATCTATTCATTATATGTTCCATGATTCATCTGCTTATCTACTTGCTATTCATCCGCTGGTTCAACCCTTCATTGCTTGATTCCTCCTTTCCCCTCTCTAGAAGGCCCCTCCTCTGGGGCTGGTTCTGGGCCCCATGAGGTGTCTGGGGCACTTCTCTGGGGCAGGATTTCCCCAGTTGGCCTGTTGTTCTCCCTGTTCCCCCCGGTGACTGTACTCTCAAGAGGGAGAGCAGTGTCTGGGGCATGTTGGCCTTTGACTTCCCCTTGGCCCTGAGGGCAGAAGGAGCCTGCTGGAGGCCAGATTACCCCCCACCCCCCCAGACTCTGAAGGCATCTGAGACAAGACCAGTGCCCACTGCCCCCTTGTGGGCATGCTGGTGCCAGGTGTCCCCACAGAGGTTGTGGAACTGTTCTCTTTGTGCTCTTGGGGGCCCATGCACAGGAGAAGCTTGAAGAGTGGCCTAGGTAGGAGAGTTCTCTTGCTTCTGACCCCTCCCAAGCCTTGCCCATTCCCTTTCTATGGTTTGGTCATACTTGGGCTCAGGGAAGTAAGGGAGATTTGCATCTGGGAGCTAGGCAGGGCATGAGAGCAGCCTGGGAGGCGTGTGTGGATTTGTTTCTGAGCTGAGCATAGGTGAACACAGAGGGAAGCCAGGAAGTACCTGGAATAGCTGGACTGGGCCTGGGGACCCCCAGTGGGGGCTTGGGTGGGGACTCCAGTTGCCTTCTTGGAGCTGGGTATGGGTTAGGAACTTCCTGCACCTGCAGAGCGCAGATGTGAGCTTGGGAATATGAGCATGTATGCATGTGTGCCCACGTGCATGTGTACAGAGCATCATGGTGCCAGGCAGGCTGTGCCCATGTGGTAGCCCCTTTCTGCACGAGTCAGTAATTGTTCTGTGCTACTGTGTCTTGTTACACCCAAGGTTGATCCACTGAGGGTGCGTGGGACCTGCCTTCCTCCTGGTGCCCCTGGAATCCAGCCCTTCTTTCCCTTGCATTCCCTCCTAAATGGTTCCAGCCTCATTCTGGCTGACTACTCCTCTCTTGCCCTTGCAGCCAGAGGTGACAGTCTAAGATACAAACAACCATGTTGCCTGACTACTCAGAAATTTTCGATGGCCCCAATGCTCTTGAGTCTTCACCCTCCTTGTGCTATGTCTGCCTTGGCTAGACTTTGCTGACTTCAGATTTCACACCCAGCTAGGCCTCACCTCCTGTACGATGCACACTCACTCAGTCAAATGCACACACATAGACACACTAGACACACACTCAGGCACTGTCTCCATCTACTGGCACACACACACACACAGGCACACACACTCACACACACATGGACTCCAGGGGTGAAGGCTTTCTGTGGTGCCAGAGGCTCAGGCAGCAGTTGCTCCTTCCTCCTAGGCCCTGTCCCTCCTTGTATGCAGCAGACCCTGAGAATGACGAATGGGTGCCAGATGGACATATAGGGCTGCTTTGGACGAGTATGGAGTTTATTCAAGGGATGGGGGCAGGCAGAGCTGCTCAGTAGCAGGTGCCGTCTGCCTCCGACATGACTACAGACACGTTGACGTGGGTGGGTTTACCCGACAGGCGGTCGATGGTCTTCTGGGTGAAGGCCAGGGGCAGGGTCTCGTGGCCCACCATGCAGGAGAAGTTTTCACCCTGCTTCCAGTCTGCGGCCTTCACACGCAGTACGCTGGTCACAGCGTGGGTGATGGCGCCCTCATTTGGCTCCCTCAGGGGTTTCCACACCAGGTAGGTATTGCGGGGCAGCTCCTGGGTCCCCTGCAGCCAGCGCACCAGCACCTCTGGAGGGTTGAATCCCCGTACCAGGCATGTCAGCGACACCAGCTCATTCAGGGCCAGCTCCTCCGGCGGCGGCGGCAGCAGGTGGACCTGAGGCCGGAAGGTGTTCTCTGGAGAGGGTAGAGAGCTAGGTCAGGGGTCTAAGCAGAGGAGGAAAGGGTCCCTACCCTGATGGGCAACCTGGGTATGGCTGAGTCCCCTCAGCCAGCCTCAGTTTCCCTCTGTAAAATGGGGGTGGGAATAGCTGAGTGCAGGCACTGTAGGGAGGAGGCAGACATGCAAACTGCACAGTGCCTTTAGTACCCCATGGGTGGGACTGGGCCCACCTGTGGCCTTGGCAATGGTGGCAGTTTTTGGCTCCTCTAGCTCAGGGTGGCTGACTGTGCACGTGAAGGTCTCTCCACTGTTCCAGGGCTCAGCGCAACCAGGCAGGACGCTGGACACACTAAAACAGCCACAGGAATCCGGCTCAGGGTGCTTCTGAATGGCGTCCTTCCCTCCTGAGGGCTGCCAGGTGAAGGTGGCTCCTTCAGGTTTCTTCAGGCCACGCAGTGTGCATGTGAGGCTGGCGTCTGAGCCCAGGAGCAGGTCTTCGAGGGATGGCCGCTGCAGTGACAGGCTGGGGTGGCATTTTGGACAGGGGAGTGGTTCTGGAACTAAACAGAAGCCCTGGCAGGTTAGCATACCCTTCCTGCCCCCTGACTGCCCCTCTCCCTGGGCCTCAGCCCTTATTTGTCTGTCTCTGGCCACTGTTGAGGCCCAGCCAGGCAGTCCACTCTGGTGGTTCATGGGGTCCCGTTGTGGGGGGGTGTCTGTTGGGAACATGAGTCCAGGCACCTAGTCAGGGCAGGACAGGCCCCACCCCCAGCCTACCCTCTGACCTTTGCAAGGTACAGCCACATCCTGGGTGGGGCTAGAGTCATGCTGCACGTAGCATGTCAGGGACGTGTCATCTGGGCACTGGTCAGCAGGCAGGGTCAGTTGGCTGCTCATGATGTACAGGCCCTCTGTGGCCAGGACAGGCGGGAAGTTTCTGAGGACCACAGGATCCCCGCTCTTGCTCCAGGTCACATTCACAGGTCCGGAGGGGAAGAAATCCCGAATCAGGCAGCCGACAATCACTTCATTGTCTATCTCGGCCTTTGCAAGGCTCAGTGGGAAGATGGTGGGTGAGGTCAGGGGCACTGGAACACAGGATGTGTCATGAGATGGTGGACTCCTACACTGCCCACTCTGATTAGCCCCTGAGGACAGGACCATGTCTGCCCTTCCTTTGCACTGGAGGAACCTGGCCCACAGAGGGCTAGGGACCATCCAGTGGCACACAACTCCTGGGTCATGAGCCTGGCATTGGAGCCAGTCAACTGGTTCTTGCTGCGCTGCTTCTGATCCTGACCTGAAGACAGTCCTTGCCCCGACAGGCACTTCCCACAGGACCCTTACAGAGAGGTCTTCTCACAGTGGTGCTTACTGAATATGGCCTTGCTCTGGGTAGCTCATGCCCTAGCTCCCCAAGCCTCACTCCCCTGTGGGCAGTGGGCACAGCTCCAGGGTTTGGGAGATCATGAGTGGTGGGCAAGGGCAGGGACAGAGCTGCCTGGGTTTGAGCTCAGCCTGCATGGGGTGAGGTGGGCAGGTCAGGATTGGCTTGAAGGTCACATTGGGAAGGAGGGACCATCCTGCCTGGGTCCCACTTCACACTTGGCTTGTCAGGGCCTAAGGTCCATCACCCATGGACCCTACTTCAGCCCCCAAGAAGCAGCAGTAGACCCCATTGATGTACAAAGGTCTCAAGACCAAGCAAATCCAGAGCAGTGCTGCTGCCTGGGCAGGGCCAGGAATACTGGGTGTGCACTGGCCACAGGCACACCTGAATTTCCATCAGGGTAATGGGAAGGAGAGGAGTACATCTGGGATCACATTGAGCTTCATGGTCCCATGCCTCTAACACAAACAGGGGCTTCCAGCTGAATCAAGGGGACTCTTGTTGATTCACACTGAGCCCAGAAGTTCCTAATCACCTCAGCACTCAGCTCAGCCCAGTGCAGCCCAGTGCAGACAAGTGAAACCCCTTAGTCTAATCAGCTCAGACAGCCCAGCTCAGTCCAGCTCAGCCCAGAGAGTCCAGCTCAGCCCAGAGAGTCCAGCTCAGCCCAGCTCTGCTTAGCCCAAACAGCACAGCTCAGTCCAGATAACCCAGCTCAGCTGAGATAGCACTGCCCAGTTCAGTTCAGCCCAAACAGCCAGGACAGCCCTGCCTAGCCCTGCCCAGCCCAGCTCCGCCCAGGTCAGCCCAGGTCAGCCCAGTTCAGCCCAGCTCAGCCCAGCTCATCCCAGCTCAGCCCAGTTCAGCCCAACTCAGCCCAGCTCAGCCTACCTCATCCCAGCTCAGTCCAGCCCAGCTCAGCTCAGAGAGCCTATTTCAGCCCAGCTCATCCCAGCTCATCCCAGCTCATCCCAGCTCAGCCCAGTTCAGTGCAGTTTAGCCCAGTTCAGCCTAGCTCATCCCAGCTCAGCTCAGAGAGCCCAGCTCAGCTGAGCCGAAACAGCACAGCTCAGTCCAGATTGCCCAGCTCAGCTGAGATAGTCCTGTCCAGCTCAGTTCAGACCAAACAGCCCAGACAGCCCAGTTCTGCTCAGCTCAGCTCAGCCCAACTCAGCCCAACCCAGCTCAGCCTAGTTCAACCCAGAGAGCCCATCTCAGCCCAGCCCAGCCCAGACAGGCCAGTTCAGCCCAGAGAGTCCAGCTCAGTTCAGTCCAAATAGACCAGCTCAGCCCAGAGTCCAGCCCAGCCCAAGCAGCCTAACTCAGCTCAGAGAGCCCAGCTCAGCCCTGCCAAACTCAGTTTAGCCCAGACAGCACAGCCCAGCCCAGCTTACCCCAGGCCAGCTCAGTCCAGGCAGCGTGTCTTGGCCCAACTCAGCCTAGACAGCCCAGCTTAGCCCAGAGAGCCCAGCCCAGTCCAGCCTAGCTCAGTCTAGCTCAGCTTAGTTCGGTCCAGAAAGCACAACGCAGCCCAGACAGACCAGTTCAGCCCAGTCCAGCATAGCCTAGCTCAGCCAAGCTCAGCCTAGAGAACTCAGCTCAGCCCAGCTCAACCTAGCTCAGCTTAGAAAGCCCAGTTTAGCCCAGAGAACCCAGCTCAGCTCAGCTCTGCCCAGGTCAGCCCAGCTCAGCCAAGCTCATCCCAGCTCAGCTCAGAGAGCCTAGTTCAGCCTAGCTCAGACCAGCTTAGCCTAGCTCAGCCCAGTTCAGCCCAGTTCAGCCCAGCTAAGTCTAGCTCAGCCCATTTCAGTCCAGCTTAGCCTAGCTCAGCCCAGGTCAGCCTAGACAGCACAATTTGGCTCAGAGAACCCAGCTCAGCTCAGCTCAGCCCAGCCCAGTGCAGCCCAGCCCAGTGCAGCCCAGCCCAGTCCAGCCCAGTCCAGCCCAGCCCAGCTCAGAGAGCCCAGTTTAGCCTAGTTCAGCCCAGTTCAGCCTAACTCAGCACAGTTCAGCCTAGACAGCACAGCTTAGCCCAGAGAGCCCAGCTCAGCCCAGCCCAGCCCAGCCCAGTCCAGCCCAGCCCAGCTCAGAGAGCCCAGTTCAGCCCAGCTCAGCCCAGATCAGCCCAGTTCAGCCTAGCTCAGCCCAGCTCAGCCTAGCTCAGCCTAGCTCAGCCTAGTTCAGCCCAGCTTAGCCTATGTAAGCCAGTTCAGCTCAGTTCAGCCTAGCTCAGCTCAGTTCAGCTCAGACAGCACAGCTTGGCTCAGAGAACCCAGCTCAGCTCAGCTCAGCCCAGCCCAGCCCAGCCCAGAGAGCCCAGTTCAGCTGAGCTCTTCCCAGCTCAGCTCAGAGAGCCCAGTTCAGTCTAGCTCAGCCCAGCTCAGCCCAGCTCAGCCTAGTTCAGCCTAATTCAGCCCAGTTCAGCCTAGCTCAGCTCAGTTCAGCCCAGACAGCACAACTTGGCTTGGAGAACACAGCTCAGCTCAGCTCAGCTCAGCCCAGCCCAGTCCAGCCTAGCCAAGCCCAGCCCAGCCAGCCCAGTCCAGCCCAGCCCAGCTCAGAGAGCCCAGTTCAGCCTAGCGCAGCCCAGCTCAGCCTAGCTCAGCCCAGTTCAGCCCAGCTTAGCTATGTGAGCCAGTTCAGTTCAGCTCAGCCTAGCTCAGCTCAGTTCAGCCCAGCCCAGTCCAGCTCAGTCCAGCCCAGTCCAGCCCAGTCCAGTCCAGCCCAGTGCAGAGAGCCCAGTTCAGCCTAGCTCAGCCCAGCACAGCCTAACTCAGCCCAGTTCAGCCCAGACAGCCCAGCTTAGCCCAGAGAGCCCAGCTCAGCTCAGCTCAGCTCTGCCCAGCCCAGCTCAGCCTAGCTTATTCCAGCTTAGCTCAGAGAGCCCAATTCAGCCCAGTTCAGCCTAACTCAGGCCAGTTCAGCCCAGTTCTGCATAGCTCAGCTCAGTTTAGCCCATACAGCACAGCTTGGCTCACAGAACCCAGCTCAGCTCAGCTCAGCCCAGCCCAGCCCAGAGAGCCCAGTTCAGCTTCTCTCAGCCCAGCTCAGCCTAACCAACCCAGCTCAGCCTGGACAGCACAGTTTAGCCCAGAGAGCTCAACTCAGCCCAGCCCAGCCCAGCCCAGTCCAGCCCAGCCCAGCTCAGAGAGCCCAGTTCAGCCCAGCCCAGCTCAGAGAGCCCAGTTCAGCATAGCTCTGCCCAGCTCAGCCCAGCTTAGCCTATGTCAGCCAGTTCAGCTCAACTCAGCCTAGCTCAGCTCAGTTCAGCCCAGACAGCACAACTTAGCTCACAGAACCCAGCTCAGCTCTGCTCAGCCCAGCCCAGTCTAGAGAGCCCAGTTCAGCCTAGCTCAGCCCAGCTCAGCCTAACTCAGCCCAGTTCAGCCCAGATAGCACAGCTTAGCCCAAAGGGTGCCCAGCCCAGCTCAGCCCAGCCCAACCCAGCTCATCCTAGCACAGTTTAGAAAGTCAAGCTTAGCTCAGCTCAGGCCAAACAGCTCAGCCTAGTCAGCCCAGCTCAGCCCAGAGAGCCCAGCTCAGCTCAGCCCAGACAGCCAGCCCAATCTAGCTCAGCCTAGCTCAGCTCAACTTAGCCTAAACAGCCTAGCTTAGCCCAGACAATCCAGCTCAGTCCAGAAAGCCCAGCTCAGGTCAGTCCAGCCCAGTCCAGTCCAGCTAAGCCCAGCTCAGCCAAATCAGCCTAGCTTATCCAAGCTCAGCCCAGCCAAGCCCAACTCTGCTCAGTTCAGCACACACAGCCATCCTGCCCCTTGCCATCTCTCCTGTTTCTCTCCTCAGCCCAACCTGTTTCCTTCCTGTTGCTTCACAGAAAGTTCTGTTGCATCCCAGTTTTCTCTGCATATCAGCCCACAGTATGGTACTTGTGCCTATGCCTGTTCCCATCCTGCCTCTGGGGTCTTCCTCTGCGGTCTCTCTTCCCATCTTCTGTTCTGATCATGGTGTCATTCTCCAGTCTGTGCTCCCAAGATTGTCCAGGAATGGCCTTGCTGAGATTCCTCAGCATACCAAGAAGCAGACAAGGCCAGAGAGCATTAGCACCCACCTGTTCAGCACCTGCTGCGTGTCCTCCACTGAGGAGGGCCAGGCCTCCCTTGGCTAAGTAGCCCCACAATTCAGGCCCATCCTCATGGCTAATGTCCCCCTGCCTCAGAGGCCCTACGGTGGGCGGGATCTTAGGCCCGGTCCCGGCCTCGCCTTGATGACTGTGCGCCCTCAGCGGCGTCTGCCCTACTCTGGATCAATTGCCATGGATGGGGTCAGGCTGGATGGGGAGAGAGCAGGCTGGGGAGGGGTGGCATGGATGTGTTTGGCCCCCAGATGGGGTCCCTCACCCACTTCCTGCTCCACCTCCACTTTGCCGCAGCTTGCCTCCACGTCATGTCTAGTCTGTGGTCTGGTTGTGGTGGGGACAGGTGTGTGTGGCCTGGGTTGTGTGACCCCATGGGTCATGGTGGAACCAAGACACCACATGGCTGGCCACAGGGCTGGGCTGAGGGCTGAGATGCAGGGAAAGGGCCTGACATAGACATAGGTAGCTGCTCAGAGACACTGAAACAGATGGAGAGGGAGAGAGGCAAGTCAGGGGCTGGATGGGAAGTCTGAGCGCTGGCAGGTCAGGGGCTCCAAGGGGCAAGGCTGGCCCAGAGTGAACCCCTAGCCAGGAAGGTCTCTAGGAGACCTGTGGGATCACTGGTGGGCATCAGGGTAGGGAGAGGGTCTTGTAGGTCTGGAGCCATTCCAGCCTGGCCATGAGCTGTGGTGACACCCTTGGCCAGCCCCATGAGAAACTGAGGGTCCCATACCCTAGGGTAGGGGCTTGGGCCTGCAGACTGTCAGCCCAGTGTCACCACTACCCACATCCCCTGCTGCCCTGGGCCAACTCCTGCCAGGGCTTTTTTACCCTGGGGCCTCTGCCCCGCAGGCCTCCTCAGAGGCTGCTGGGCTGAGCTTCATCCTTTGCCTGCTCCTGTGTACACCTCATGCTGTCCACTGCTTCCACAGCCATGGAATTGTACCTGTAGAAAGCCCCTGACTTCCTTGTGTCCTGATGATATTCCTTGGTCAGTTGCCCCTGTCTGGGCAACAAGGACCAGCTGACCTTGTTTATATCAGAGTTCTTCAGCCACGGCCAGGTTCTGTAGCCGCACTTAGGCACTGGACAGTCCTTGTCCGAGAAGGGCCGCACTGGGAGGAGAGGCAGTGAGCCAACCAGGGCACAATGGATGGAGCTTGTGGCTGGTGTTGCATCCTGGGTTTGGGGAAGTTGGCTGTTCCTAGGGTCCTGGCTAAGGCTGGGGCACTTTTCAGAGGAGCAGCTGCAGCAGCGGAGTCCTGGGAATTATGGGGTAGATTGGAGGTCTCCTGGCTGCAGGTCTGGTCAGGGGACGTGGGAGCTGGAGTGGGGAGGAGAAGGCTCCTGGGACCTGGGAAGATGCACCAGCCTGGCTGGAGGAGCAGTGGAGGTCCCGTCATCACCCCGGGGTGCTTGGAGTTGTGAACAGTGGGGAACATTGTGGCTGCATGTCTTAGTCATTTCTAGCTGCTATAATAAAAATACCCCAGACTGGGTGACTTAACCAATAAATGGTTCTCTTTCACAGTTCTGAAGGCCAGAAACCCAAGATTAAGGCACTGGTGAGGTTCACTTCCTGGTTCATGGAGGGTGGTCTGGTGTCCTTATATGTTGGAAAAAGGGTGAGAGCTGGCTGGGTCCCTTTTCTAAAGACACTAATCCTCCCATGAGGCTGCACTATAGTGATCCAATTACCTCCCAAAGGCCTTGCTTCCAATACCATCCATTTAAGCTTAGGGTTTTTCCAGCCAGATAACAAGAGGTCCTCTCAGGACAGTCAGAGGGGCTCCGCTCAGCAAGCTGTGTGCATGAGGGAGCCCTGGAAGACAAGGACTTGCTACAGGTAAAATTCCATGGAGTCAAAGCATTGGCTAGGCAGTTGCTGGCCAGCATCCTCACAGGTGTTTTCTCTGTAGGACCGAGGTGGCTTTGTGAGAGGCTTTGGAGCTCTTGTGACAGTTCTGGTCAGGCAGGCCAGCACAGGAGACTTTCTTTGAGGGATTCTTGGCTCCAACGAAGAGGGTTTGACATAGTGACTTCACTTTGACCCTGCCAGATTTCAGCTTCAACATTTTAATTTTGGGAGACACAGGCAGTCAGCTCTTGGCCTATATCTCTCCTGGCTTGGCCTCCGTCCTCTCACTGCTGAGTGCAAAACTCCCCAGTAAGTCCACATTCACTGATCCCAGGATATGGCTGCATTTTTGAGGGCCCTCATTCAGCCCCCTTTGGTGGGCTGATAAGAAAGTACAGAGGAAGGGCAGAGGAGCCTGGGAAAGCCTCCTCTTGGTCTTAGGAGGCCATATCAGGGGGGAGGGCAGGGAGCGATCCTGCTTTCTGAGTGTAGGCTCATGGATGCCTCCATGAACTCTGGACAGGGTGACCCTCTCACCTTTCTTTCAGGTCTGTGAGGGTGCCTGGCACATAGGGGCCCAATGAGCAGAGAGCCCCTGCTGCCCATGTTCTGGGGTTGGTGGGGGTCTCATGGGGAACTGACCAGAGAGGACACTGAGACCTGCCTTCTGGGGCTCCTGGCCCAGGAAGACAGAGGAAGGTGCCCAGGCCTCAGCCTGGAATGGGACAGAGGTTTGGGAGATTCTGGCGGTGGTGGCGGGGTCCTGAGCCTGGCTTCCCAAGACAGTGCATGAGTGTCTGAGTGCGCATGACTGTTGTGTTGAGTACGTGAGAGAGTGAGCAGTTTGTGTGTCTCTGTGTGTGTGCGCAGTGTGTGTCTGTGTGTGAGACTGGGGGTCTGTGCATTCACAAATGTGTGTCTGTATGTCCGGGTGTCTCTGTGTTGAGCGAGTGTAACCGTGTGTCCCTGAGTGTGAGTGCCCACGTCAGTGGAGAAGAGCTGGGCAGGGCTGTGGCCTTGGCAGCGCCCTGGGTGGCCCCTCTTCTCTACTCAGACCAACTGCGATGTCCCTGGACAGCTGCCCATTGCCCAATCCTGGTTCCTCGCCCCCAGTGAGGAGTGCCTCTCCCCTTTGCTGCCTATGCCTGGCTGCCCAAGGCCTTCAGGAGCTCAGCTCTGCAGGGGATTGGATACTGTGGCCCAGCTCTGGCAGGCTCTTTTCCACCCTAGTTCTGTCCTAGTTCTGTGTCAGAGTCCACGTGATGTTGGATTTGGATCCCTGAGGTGGGCCTCCCTGTGGGGCCGCTGCCACGAGTGATAAACAAGTGTGTTTGGCCAACTGGCCCCCAAAATTGTCTTAAGAATTCACATGCTCTCAGCCAGGGCCAGAGAGGGTTATGCCCACCCCTAGTGTCTTCTCACTGTAACTGTTTTAATCATCGAGACATTTCCCGCATATTATTGGGTTGTTCCTTTCCATGAAGGATCCGTTGTTTACTTTTCTTTTCATTGGTTCCCAGTGCTCTTTGTATATGAGGAAGCCCTGCCCTTCATCATGTGGGTTGAAGGATTGTCCCTCACTTTGTTGGACTTCGTGGAGACCCTGTAAGCAGGTCTCTTCAATCAGGAAAGCTGTCTTTTTTTGTGCCGAGGAGTGGCACAGCCTCAGGCTTCTCTCTGTCCTCGCCAGGCTGGCCGTCCCCCTACACCTGTGTCTTTTGTCTTCCTAGTCCATCAGGATTCTTCCTAAGGATGGCAGTGTCCAGCCCTAGACAGGTCTTGTTTGTTCATGTGACTCTGCTCAACCCACTAGGACGTCCAAGTTGGCTGGTGGGGTCAGGGGTCAGGGGATCAGCCTGTCTGTCTACACTCAGTGGGTGGATGGATTGTGGTCTTGGGAGCCACACACCAGCCTCTTCTTGGTGACTTGCAGCTGGGTTTCCGGAGGTGCTTCTGTGGCCACAGCATTGATCCCTTTGATTTTGCTCACAGTGGGTGAGTGAGTGGAGGCCAGCAGGTGTGATGAACAGGTAGGAGACTCTGGGAGACTCTGGGTGCTGAGGGAACTCCTGCAGTGGATAGCTGCTTGGCCCCTGTCCCTGTCTTCCCTCTGGTCCTCAGCCATGTCCTTGGGGGGTCCTGCCTCCCTCCACCCTCCTAGTCACTGCCCCAAAGCACTCAGGAGACGAGGGGATATGGAAAGGACCTTTATTGAGAACCCAGAGATGGGACAGGACTGTCAGAGCAGGGATGGAGGTTGATGAGGCCCTGGGGCTGGGGCCTGGCAGCCCCCGTTCCTGTGGGAAGTCTGTCTTTAGCTGTGGGACTGCTTACCCAGCCCAGGGGTTTGAAGTCCCCACCAGTCCTATAGTCTCACCCCTAGGGGTTTGTCTGCCTCTTCATTCTGTAGGAATAGGAGCTGGGGGTGGGGAGCAGGAGGGAAAGGCTGGGCCAGGCTTGGGGGCAGGTGGGGGCAGAAGGAGCTGGACTCTGAGTGAGGGCCGGGGCTTCATTCAGACAGCCTCTGAATGCGTGCCAGTTTTGGTTCTGGATTCTGGGTAGTGGTCAGGCCATGGGCTCTGGGCCCTCATTGTGTTTTTGTGGTTGTTCAGTCAGTATGGGTGTGACTCTGATGCTCACAGGCCTGGGGTGAGACCACTGTAGCCCCAGACGCTCTGTTGAGGGGACAGATGCTATTCTGGGGCTTGTCTCAGGGGGCCGGGGCAGCCTGCACTGTGGCCACGAACCTTCTGGATTCTGGTGTGTTGGTTTTTGGGCCCCTGACTCTGGCCTCTGTGTGAGTGTGGGGTCTGTGTGCTCCCACCTGCTACCCAGGGCAGAACAGGAAGCTCAGGATGCTGTAAGGGTGCTGGTGTCCAGCCTAGGCCCGAGGCTGGAGGACGTTGGCATAGTCGTGGAGAGCTTGAGGCGTGCTCTGCAGTAGGGCTGAGAAGACCCACTTCACCTGGGGGAAGGTGTGTGTGAGGGTGGCTCTGCGGTTTCGCTGCCCCTCTCCCATCCCTCCCGAGGGATCGGCCCCACCTTGAGGAGGGTGACAGTGGCACCATAGCTCACGCTGAGAAGAAACAAGATGATGAAAATACAGGTGCTGGTCCACAGCCCGTCCAGCTCCTCACTCTCGGCCTCCTCTGTGCACAGGTCCTGGAGGTCCAGCTCTGGGGGTACCAACCAGTCAGCCCTCCCCAGCCTTGGGGCCAGCAGTGTGGGAAGGGTGGAGCCCTCGCTGGTCTCAGGCAGCCCTGCTGAGGCTCAGAGTGGCATAGCTCTCTGCCCTGCCTCCTGTGGGACTGCTCTGAGCCCCTGACCACCTTGGAGGGTTGGGGGTCCAAGTTAGCTGGCATGTGGCGGCAGGGGTGGGGGAGGAAGGAGCAGTCCCAGTCCTCTGCCCTCTCCTGATCCTGACCTCTCATTGTCTCTTCTCCACCCTGGCCTGGTGGGGTGTATTTTCCCACTACTTTACATGGCTTCTCTCCTTCACATGACTGCTGGACTCCTCCACATGGCCCCACAAATCCCTCCTCAGAGAAAGCCCCCAGGCCCTCGAGAAGGGCTCTGAGCTTGCATCCCAGCTCCCAGAACCTGTGTGCAGGCTTTTTCCCAGGAATCTTGGGGATAGGTACCCAAGGGACTGGTCCAGTTGCATGAACTCTGCATCCAGGCCTGTGGGCATCCAGAGGAACCTGCAGACCCTGCTCCCCTCTTTCCAGGAGCTTTGACCCAACACTCCCACCAGTTTCTGTGCTGTTTATCTGTCAGCTCAGGTGCTGCCCTCCCCTCTGCCTTTCCCAGCTAGGGCTTGGCCTGAGTGCAGCTCTGGTGGTGCTCCTGCTCTGGGGCTGTGCCTGAGTCTCTGAGGTGTCTCCAACAAGGAGATTGCACACTCTTGGGTGCTGGGTGGAGGCGATGGGTGCATGTGTGCTTTCTGCATATGTCATCTGGGGTGTGTGAGCTAAACGAGTATGTGCACTGGGGCCTAGGTGACCTGGCTCTGATTCCCCATCCTCCAGACCATGGGATGAATGCACAGCCTGCTCTGGGCTGTGGTTGAGCAGGGGAGCACTATGGAGCCCACAGCATATATCTTTGTGTCTGTCCCTATCTGTCTGTCCTTGGGGTTTACCGGAGGTAGCCATATGGGGACACTGGGATCCAGCAGGGATGCAAGGTCTCTGTTTCTACCTTTGACCCAGTGGCTTTGGTGTATTGAGGCAGGGGTTCAGGAGGGGCCTTGGCTAGCAGGCAGTGATGGGGGCTCTTCTCAGGCCACATGTGAGCATGTGTGAGGCGTGTCTCCAGTGGGGTGCCAGCAGTTACATAGCTTGTGGTTCCGGACACCGGTGGAGTTGTCCTGAGATTTGGGGTGACTTTGTGGCCCGAGTGTGCACCTGTCTGTGCTCAGGGAACATGACACAGTTTGGTGTGACTGACCGAGTGAGGCTGGCTTCCTGTTCCACCCCTCAGGATGAACTTGGGTGAAGTGAGGCTGGCAGATAAGACCCGGGAAGATAGAGTGCAGACCCAGACCAGATGTGACCATGTGGTCAGGAGAATGGGGTAGGTGGACTTGCCCCCATGTCCTTCTAGTGGAGGGGAAGGCAGAGGAGCCATCTGGAGTCCTGTCTGTGCCTGTGCAGGGTTCTGCCTTGAGCTGTTTCTCTACCTGGAGGGGCCTGAGTATCCAGGGACACCTGGGGTGGGAGCTGTGGCCTTCTTGGCTGGGTCAGCTTGGTCCCTCCCCTGAGGACCTTGCTTGGCTCTTTGGACCCCTTTGAAGGGCAGAATCCACAATGGGGGACAGGGAAGGTCAGGATGCCTGAACTGAGCCCCTGTACTGAGCCACTCTGTGATGCGCTATTTGACAAGTACCTTCAAATACACAAGCAGAAGAATGAGTCTGGCCTCTCTCCTGCCACACCCTTGGGTGTGTGCCACCCCCTCTCTTGGGGGGTCCTTTGCTCTGTGCCAAGACTCCTCTTCCTGCAACTAGCCCTCCTCAAGAACAGGCGCCCAGGGCACCAAGCAGACACCAAGAGTTTATTGGAATGACTTCCTGGTGCCGTTACAACAGTGGACACAGGTTTGGCTGGCCCTCTTTCCCTGCCCCAGCTGGATGAAGCCCTGGGAGGGAGGGAGGCAAGGAGAGGTCATTTACCCGGGTTCTTGGACACTGTTTTCTCAATGGTCCTAGGTTCAGGCAGTGCCTCATGGACCACGCGGCAGGTGAATTTGTTGTTCTGCATCCAGTCTGCCCGGGTGACCTCCAGGCGGCTGAAGATGAAGAAGGTGGTTCTGGAGCCACTGGTGTTCAGGGGCACTGTAGTACTGTGCTCGTTGCTTGGGATCAGCACCTTGTTACGTAGCCACTGCACCGAGATGTCCTTGGGGAAGAAGTTCTGGATCAGGCAGGTGAGGGTGAGCTTGTTCTGGTTCCCCTTCTCCTCCGGTGGTGGGAACATGTAGATCTCAGGAATCTCCCGCTTTCCTGTGGAGAGGCATGGGTCAGCTCAGTCTCCACCCTCTTTGACCACCAGGGAGGACACAACTCTCCTCTCCCAGTCTGCAGCTCACCCTGGGTCTTGGTGATGGAGCGCACAATGGGCTTGGGCAGGAAGGAGTAGTTCACTGTGCACAGGTAGGTCTCGCCTTCAATCCAGTCCTGGGTTACCAGGGGCAGGGTGGAGGTGATGCTGGTTGTGGCATTGTAGTACCTATTAACCTTCTGGGAGCTCTCCTGCACAGGCCTCTTGCTCAACCGGGACCAGGTCACGGTGACTTTATCATTTTCCAGATCCACCACCAGACAGGTGAGCTTGGGCGCTTTGTGGAAGTACAGGTCGAGGGGGCTGGGTGGAATCAGGTAGGCACTCACGCCTCGTGGTTCATATTCTGTGGTACAGGGAAGGTTGTGTGAGACCCTGCCTGCTGCCCTCAGACATCTCAGTGTCTGGGTGTTGGGGTGAGGAGAGGCCGTACCTGTGCACTTCTGGGCATGGGCCTCAATAATGGAGTCTTCATAGGTGACCTTGCAGGTGAAGGTGCTCTCAGACACCCATTCTTCCTGGGTGATGTTGAGCTCAGCATAGGTGGAGGCCAGCTTGCCTTCTTGCTTGGATGGGGCGATGGATGACTGCCTGTTGGTGATTTCCTGGCTGTTCTTTAGCCAGGTGACCTTGAAGTCACCTGGGGTGTAGTTAGAAATGAGGCAGTAGAGCTGGATGGTGGTATGAGACCCACTGGGGTCACAGGAGGAATGGAAGAGCTTCACGGTGGGCTGGGTGAAGTTGGAAGAGATGCAAGCTAGGGCAGAGGTGGCAAACAATGAGTAGCTCCCTGAGCCTTCCAGGCCCCAGCTCAGGGTCCCAAGTACTCTGGGTGCTCCCCTGCCCCTGTTCTCCCTGTCCCCTGTTCACCCTGGAAGTCCTTCCTGCTCTTACATGGCCCCTCTTGCTGTGGTTGCAGCCAGCCTGGCCCTGCTCACCTTTGACAGTCCTGTTCTGGTGGCTTGCAGATGGATCATGCTTCACCTGGCAGGTGAAGCGTTGTCCTGCCAACTTGCCCTGGATGGCCACTTGACTGGCGGTGAAAGAGACACCAGAGCTGGAAGTGATGGAGGGGAATTTCCAGGTGCTCGTGTTTGAGGAGTTTGTGTTCCAGGTTATGGTCACTGGCTCTGGGAAGTAGCCTGTGACCAGGCATCCCAGTGTCTTGAGAGCAGTGTTGTTGCAGCAGTTCGACAAGGGGAAGACGAAGGGCTTCTGGACAGAGGCTGTAGAATAGGTCCAGGTCAGACTGGCCTCAGACAAACACTGGTCCCCAGCCTGGGGGTCTGGGTGTTGTGGCTGTGATAGAGGTGGGGAACTGAAGACCCTGCTCCATCCTGGATGAACAGACTCATCCAGACTCCAGGGCCCTGTCTGATTCTACCTCTTCCCCCAAGCTCCAGGCTGCCATCTGGCACCCTTGTACTGCCACCCCCCACAGGCTGTTCTTACTATCCACAGTTCAGCATGGGCACAGGGGCTCCCAAGAAGCGACTAGTCTCAGCCCTGAGGACTAGAACGTGGGCTCTGGAGAAGCAGTGGCATCAGTGCTCTCCTAGGCTAAAACTTAGGGTGCAGAAATCCCCTGAGGCCTGGGGACCCAGAGACCCCAGGAATCACCAGATTGTCCCTCATGCTCCCACCCATAGATCCCATGGGGACTGTAGCTCCACAGACTTCCCAGGACCATGAGTCCTCCCACCCCACTACAAAATTGTGGGGAATACTGAGGAAAGGTCTGGCTGTCCTCTGGCCTGGGCCTCTGCCTTCTGAGTCTGTTGGGCTTAGGTCCTTCGACACTTGAGTCCTCTGCCTTGATTTCCCTTCCCCTCAACCCTTGCTTGACCAGCCAGGCCTCCATAGTTCTCTGTGTCCTTGCTGACACCTTGGGAGAGGCAGGAAAAACTGGCCCTGACAGCACATTGGATAGAGGACAGAGTCCTCCTGCCCCAGTTACTCTGGTTTGTACACAGCCTGCACCACTCCCCGGCCCTGGAGCTCAGCTTGGCTCTGTCTCTAAGGCTGCTTTAGGCCCCAAGAAAGCACTGTGCTCAGCACAGCTCTGTCCACCCTGCTCCACAATGCCTACTCAGTCCAGCTGAGCACACACCAGACAACCTTGTGCCAGGATAGCAGATTAAACAACTTGGAGGAATCCAGCTCCCCAAATCAAGTTCATTTAAGTACAAGAATGCCAAACCAGATCAATAAAGCCCATCTCAGCCAGCCTAGTTCAGCTTGGCCCAGGTAAACTCAAGTCACCACTGCTCAGCCCAGTATAGCCCATTCAGCTCAACTTAAGCTCAGTCCAGTTCCGCTCAGCTCAGTCTAGCTCTGTATATCCAAGCTTAGCTCTGCCCAGCTCAGTACATCACATTTTAGCTCAGCTGAATTCAGATCACCTCAGTTTAGCCCAGCCCAGCTCAGCCCAGTTCAGCTCAGCCCAGTCCAGCCCAGCTCAACTGATCTCATCTCATTTCAGCAAAAACTCAGAGCAGCTCAGTTCAGCAGAATCTTCTCTCACCTCATGCAAGTTCAACCCAGATCAACCCAAACCAGCCCAGCTCAACCCAACCCATCTCAGCTCAGCAAAAACTCAGATCAGCTCAGTTCAGCAGAATCTCACCTCACCTCATCCCATCCCATCCCATCTTACTCATGGGCCCAGCCCAGCCAAGCCCAGTTCAACCCATCCTAGCTCAGTCCAGCCAAGCCCAGCTCAGCTTAGTTTAATTTAGTCTATCCCAGTCTAGCTCAGCTCAGCTAGCTTAGCCCAGCTCAGCCCAGCCTAGCTCAGCCCAGCCCAGCCCAGCCCAATTCAGCTCAGCCCAGCTCAGCCCAGTATAGCCTAGTCCAGCTCAGCTCATTTCGGCTGAACTCAGCCTAAATCCACACATCCCATTCCAGTTCAGTTAAGCTCAGCTTAGTTTAGCTCAGCCCAGCTCAACCCAGTTCAGCTCAACTCAGCCCAGCCCATCTCAATTCATCCCAGCTCAGTTCATCCCAGCCCATTCCAGTCCTAGTCAGCTCAGCCCAGGTCAGATCAGCCCAGCTCAATCCAGTCCATCTCAGCTCAGTTCAGCCCAGCTCAGCCCAGTCAAGCTCAGCCCAGCCCAGCCCAGCCCAGCTCAACCCAATCCAGCCTAGATTAGCTCAGCCCAGCCCAGCTCAACCCAGCTCAACTCAGCCCAGCTTAGCCCAGTTTATCCCAGTCCAACCCAGCCCAGGCTAACCTAGCCCAGCCCAGCTCAGCCATTCAAGCCCAGCCCAGTTAAGTCCAGCCCAGCCCAGCCCAGCTCAACCCAGTGCAGCCCAGATCAGCTCAGCTCAGCATAGTTCAACCCATCCCAACTCGACCCAGCCTAGCCCAGCTCAGCCCAGTCAAACCTAGTCCAGCCCAGCCCAGTCCAGCTTAACCCATCCTAGCTCAGTCCAGCCAAGTTCAGCTCAGCTCAGCTCAGTTTAGCCCAGCTCAGCCCAGCCTAGCTCAGCCCAGCCTAGCCTGATTCATTTCAATCTAATCCAACCCAACCGAGCCCAGTTAAACTGAGCTCAACCCAGCTCAGTTCAGCGCAGCCCAGCCCAGCCCAACCCAGCCCAGCTCAGCCCAGTCAAACCCAGCCCAGCTCAGTCCAGCCCAGCGCAGCCCAGCTCAACCCAACCCAGCCCAGATCAGCTCAGCTCAGCACAGCTCAACCTGTCCCAACTCAACCCAGCCCAGCCAAGCCCAGTTCAACCCATCCTAGCTCAGTCCGGCCAAGCCCAGCTCAGCTTAGTTTGATTTAGTCCATCCCAGTCCAGCTCAGCTCAGCTAGCTTAGCCCAGCTCAGCCCAGCCCAATTCAGTTCAACCCAACCCAACCCAACCCAAACCAGCCCAGACAAACTCAGCTCAACCCATCTCAGTTCAGCTCAGCCCAGATTAGTCCAGCTCAAGCCAGTCCAGCTCAGCCCAGCTCAGCCCAAATCAGCCTAGCTCACCCTAGCCCATCCCAACCAAGTTCAACCCAACCCAACCCAGGCAAGCTCAGTTCAACCCAGCTTAAACCAGCCTAGCCCAGACCTGCTCAATTCAAGCCAGCTTAGCCCACCAAGCTCAGGTAGTCCAGCCCAGCTCAGCTGAGTTCAGTTCAGTCCAGTCCAGTCCTGCCCAGGTCAGCTCAGCCCAGTCCAGATCAACCCAACCCAGCTCATCTCAGCTCAGTTCAGCCTAGCCCAGCCCAGTCCAGAACAACCCACCTCAGCCCAGCTCAACCCAGCTCATCTCAACTCATCTCAGCCCAGTCCAGCTCAGCTTGGCTCTGCTCAGTTCAGCCCCACTCCATCCTGTTCAGGTCATTTTAGCTCAGCCCATCTCAACCTAGTTCAGCTTAAGCCAGCTCAGCTGTGGAGTTTAGCCAGCCTGCTGTACAATTTAGCCGGCTGCCATTAGCTGTCTCTGGGTGACATCCTTGTCCTGGTTGTTTGCAGGAAGATTTCTGCTCAGCCCTGCTTGGGGTCTCTGAGCTCCCCCTGACCTTTTTAGACTTTAGCTTGGTCCAGCCCTGTCTGGTTGAGACTCACAGTCCCCTGTCTTCTACTTGTGGGCTTTAGGCTGTTTCTAATCTCCCTGTGCCCCAATACAGGGAAGGGACAGCTGAATGACATGCAAGTGACCAACAGTCTCTGTTCATGGTGGGAGGACAGCCCAAGTGTCCCTTCCCCTATCACTAGCCCTGGTAACCTGTTCATCCCTGCCACTTGGGCCAGTTCCTTTGTTGGGGTTCCTTCCAGGATGGGATACCTGAAGTCCTCTTCTAGGTGCCTGCGGCTGGCATGGCCGTCCTCATCTGCAGCCATCTGTCAGGTCCCTGGACAGGCTCCCAGAGGATATGAATCGTTAGTAACCATTGTCGTTATTTTATGCTCAGGTGATAATGCCTGGGGGAGGGAGCTCTGCCTCAGTGCCCTCAGCTAAAAGTGGGGTGGGAACTCCCAGGCCTCGGCAACCCTGGAAGTTCCCTTTTCTGTCTGTTCTTGGGAAGTCGACTGAGTGATGTTGGGGTCTCAGGTGAGGCCCCTCTGCAGGGGACACACAGGCATGTTCTAGGCAAGGGCCTGTCCTCTCTGCAGTCTGTCCCAGGACTCTCCTGCATAGCTCTCAGCTCGATGCCATCTGTGAGTTAGGTGGCCACCTTGCCTGCCCACTCGGGGTCCCACTGCCCTGAGAAGGGATCAGACACTTGGTAGTGCCATCTCTGCACCTTTGGCAGCCCCTCGGGGAGAGTGGGCTGGCTATTTTGTGACTGAGAAATGAGGCAGGAGGAGGACCACATGTGAACCTGTAAGGCTCCCCCAGAGCCAGTGTCCTTGTTCCTGTGTAAGGCTTGGAGCTGGCACCCTGAGGTGGGTGACCTTGACCTGGTACTCAATCCCAGATGACAGTCCTACAGCCTGGGACCCTCTCCTGTTGCCCTGCCAGGGGAGTCAGGAGGCTGTGAACAGCCTACATATATGCATATGGAGAGATGGCCTGGCTCTGCAAGGTCCTGCTGCCCCTGAACCGTGGGGGTGTCATGCCATGTCTGTACTGGAGGCAGTATGTAAAACTGGTCTTGGTGGCCTCCCTGGGGACACCTGAAACATCTACTGTGGCTGTAGCCAATGTTCCCTGTGTGGAGTGAGGTTTTGGACTGAGTGCAGGCTATATCTTTGACATCTTTGCAGGCCTGTGTGTCTTCAGGAGTCCCTTGGAGGTCCATGCACACTCACAGGGAAGTCACATGCACCTACTAGCCTGGCTTGTCATTGTGGGAAATTTGGGGAGAGCCACCAGGACTCTGATCCTTGGACCAAGGAATCCCAGGGCCATTGGTCCCTGTGTAGCAGGGCTGAGGGACGTAGACTCTGCCAGGCCTGACTTCCTCAGAGAGACATTCAGGTACTTTGGAAGACCCAGAAGGACTGCTAGGCAATGGCAGGACTAGGCAGGGTGGGAGCTGAGCCAGCATAGTCTGATGGTGCCAGGACCATCAGGGCCTAGGGGTGACTTTGTTCCCTCCCAGATAGGCTGTCTGAGGCCACCTGTCCTGCCCTCAGCTCAGGAGACAGACATGTGTTGGACACTGAGGAGTAAATGCCCAGTTCTCTGGAAAGAGTCATGGTTCTGAGGGAAACCACAGGGGTGGGGAGCCTCCTGCCCCTCTAGGTCAGGTGCTGCATTCTGCAGTGGGCACTGAGTGGTAGGCGGGGGCTCCACCTGACCCACCTAGCATATTTTTGCTCACTTTCTCCCAGCTTTGGGCATAAGGGGCAGGGCATTTGTGCCCTGGTTGCCTGCCCCTGGTTCTTCCCTGGCACCCCAGGACTTGCTGGGCTGCTGCTGGTGCTGCAGCAGGCAAGGCTATGTCTTGGATTGCAGTGGTGGCAACCTGGAAGGAGATGACCTCACAGTGTGTGGGGGTCCATCTCCCTCCTGGTGCTTGCTAGGTCCACTCCCTTGCCTACTCCCTCCTGTCCAGGGGCCCAGCTACCCTCTTGCACTCTGTGGGTGTCCATGCGGGATCCAGCAGGACAGCATCTGTAGTGCTGTCACCCTGCTTTGCCTTTACCACCATCCCCTCGGCCAGGACCAGGGCACCAGGGCTCCACTTGGGGCCAGCTGCCCTCTGGTCATTCTGAAGTGTGGCTCCTTTCTCCAGTGCTCTGGGACAGATCTGCTCCCATATGGATTGCGTCTCAGTTGCATACAACTGAATGCATGTGTGTGCCTGTGTGTGTGTGTGGGGGGAGGGCGGGCAATGACAGTCTGCCTCCTACCCCAACCCTGAATGGCCCTGTAGGGGTCTGGGGCAGAATGTGCCAGACAGAACTGTACTATTTTTGCCTTCCTATGTGGGGTGAGAGTGAGACAGAGGGGCCCAACTCTTCCTAAGGATATTTGCCTAGGAGTTAAGCACTGCTAAATAATGTTAAGGATGTCAGTGTTGATAATAGGTGTTTGTTGTGAAGGCTGTTGAATGTTTACTTTTCCTTCTAATAAGCTAAACTGTTGGGGCTGGTGAGTTGAACCTTTGATTGACAGCTATCAGACCCTTCTTTGTGCCTGGCTGTCTTGAGCAAGGAGCTGTCCATTCAGCAGTCTCTCTTTTAGCCACCAGCTGGATGTCATCATGGCATCTCAGCTGCTTCAAACAATTCACGGACTCCTCGAGGTAATTACACTCCAGCAGCAAAAAAAGACTGCATACATGGTTGCTGCTGAAGCCCCAAACTTCTGCTTCAGGAGGCTTTGCCCCTGCCTCTGCTGCTCCAGACTGCACCATGACCTCCAAATGACCTCTCCTGCAGCTGCTCCAGGGGACCCCATCATCAGATGCTCTGGACCCTGTAACAGAAGTACTCAAAAAGGTCAGGGAGGAGGAACACCTCTCCTAGTGACTCAGGAAAGAGCTTGGGATTTAAGAAAGGAGGCAGTACCTGTGCAGTCTTGTGATTGGTGTTTATTTGAGGCTTGTGATTGGTTCACATGTAAGGGTTGTGATTGGTGGAACCAGAAGCTGTGCACATGCTGGGCTGTGATTGGTGGAGTTACATTCTGTGCGGGAGCATGCCACACCTCTCTTCTGGCTATAGGAGCAGGCTGTATATTTCTGCTATTTTCTGGTTAGTCTTGGAGTCTTATCTTCCATAAATTACCCTCCCTGCTCTCCACCATGTTGCAACATTAGGCCTTAAGAAAGGTTTCCCCTAAAAAGGAACCCTCTTACACTGCTGGTGGGAATGCAAACTAGTACAACCACTCTGGAAAAAAATTTGGAGGCTACTTAAAAAGCTAAACATTGATCTACCATTTGATCCAACAATACCACTCTTGGGATATACCCAAAAGACTGTGACACAGGTTACTCCAGAGGCACCTGCACACCCATGTTTATTGCAGCACTATTCACAATAGCCAAGTTATGGAAACGGCCAAGATGCCCCACCACCGATGAATGGATTAAGAAAATGTGGTATCTCTACACAATGGAATTTTATGAAGCCATGAAGAAGAATGAAATGTTATCATTCGCTGGTAAATGGATGGAATTAGAGAACGTCATTCTGAGTGAGGTTAGCCTGGCCCAAAAGACCAAAAATCGTATGTTCTCCCTCATATGCGGACATTAGATCAAGGGCAAACACAACAAGGGGATTGGACTATGATCACAGGATAAAGTGAGAGCACACAAGGGAGGGGTGAGGATAGGTAAGACACCTAAAAAACTAGCTAGCATTTGTTGCCCTCAACGCAGAGAAACTAAAGCAGATACCTTAAAAGCAACTGAGGCCAATAGGAGAAGGGGACCAGGAACTAGAGAAAGGTTAGATCAAAAAGAATTAACCTAGATGGTAACACACACGCACAGGAAATCAATGAGAGTCAACTCCCTGTATAGCTATCCTTATCTCAACTAGCAAAAACCCTTGTTCCTTCCTATTATTGCTTATACTCTTTCTACAACAAAATTAGAGATAAGGGCAAAATAGTTTCTGCCAGGTACTGAGGGGGTGGGGAGGAGAGGGAAGGGGTGGGGGGGTAAGGGAAGGGGAAGAGAATGGGGGAGAAATGACCCAAACATTGTATACACATATGAATAAAATAAAATTAAAAAAAAGAAAGGTTTCCCCCAAGTGGTCTCTTTGCCTGTCTGTGGTCTTTATCACTGTTAGGGAAGGCTGGGTGCATAGAGAACAGACAAGACTCCAGGCTTCTAGCCCTGGTGGTAGGAGTGGCAATGAAGAGGTAGCTGAAGAGTTCCAGAAAGACACTGAGATCTAAGGGCCTTGACACCCAAAGCTCTGAGCTATTACTTTAGGAGGTGACTGAAGAGTTCCTGAGGGAGAAGTGAGGACAGAATTCGGAAGGACAGTAGAAGCATAAAGAAGGTGAGAGTCTGTGAAGAGCCTGAAGGCTGAAGCTGAGGACTGCAGGGCCTGGTCACTAGAAGGGCTCAGAGAGCTGCCAAGGGCAAGGGGCAGAGGCACCCACTGCTTGGGAGCTGCAACTAGTCCTTGTCATTGACACTCTCAGCCCAGAACAGTAAGCCTCTGCCTTGAGCAGCACAGCAAAACCCACAGCCTTGGCTCCACCAGCCTCTCGTCCCCAAGGCTAGACCTCAAGCCTCTGGATTTGGAAGCCCAGCTTGTGGACCTCTGGAACTCAGAGCCACCAACACTAAGACAGCTGCTGCTTGTCTATCCATGATTTCTATTCAGATAGGGCCAAAGTGCCCCCAGCCAGCTCTTAGTGATGGGTAGGGAGAGAATGATGTGGCTTGGTGTTCATATGAGCCTTGTGCACAGCCCCTCCGGGAGGAGGGCGAGGTGCGACTTGGAGAACCTGTATGGCTTGGTTGACTGAGACTGTTTCACGCTCACAGGCTTCCATCCAGGCTGTTGTTTACAGGACCCCTAGAATCCGTCATTCTGTTTTCTGTTAAAGGGGTCAATTTAGTCACTAAAATGATGTACCATGGAAAAAAATTCTAAGCGTACAAAACACACAAAGACAATTTTTAAAAAAAGTGAGATACTTCAAAATAGTTTTCTTGCTGGGCACTGGTGTCTCACGCCTGTAATCCTAGCTACTCAGGAGGCAGATATCAGGAGGACTGAGGTTCAAAGCTGTCCAGGCAAACAGTTTGTGAGAGCCTATGTTGAAAAAACCCAACACAAAAAACAGGGCTGGCAGATTGGCCCAAGGTGTAGGCCCTGAATTCAAACCCTGGTACCGCAAAAAAAAAAAAAAAGTTTTCTTTGGTACAACAAAATGACTTCTCATTTGGCAATGGATATATATTTTTCTTTTAGTGGTG